CTTTTGAGGCTGTGTTATACGAGGGAGCCCTGTGTGGCCAGCCAGGCCATGTCCTCCTTGATACCTTAGAGGTAGACACACCAGCAGTTTTGTTATGTCTGCTCCTCACCCTTGCCTCTCAGTGCAGCCTAGTGGCCTCCTGCACAACTCAGTGAAGGCAGATCTGCAAGGGCCCTTCATGAAGCCCTGGGGACCCGCTTCTTTAGCTGTCTTGTTCACTTAACACTGTACCACGGGCAAGGAACCATGGCCGTCAAGGGTCCACCAAAAATGTGATTTTTCACGGTTGCACACAGTTCATTTATATTTTCGTAGCATCATTAACTTGGCCAATCCTGTAGTACTGATGTTTTCACTTTCCAACTCTTCCCCAATGACAATGTTGATGGTGATTTTTCCAATTCAGAAAGTCAGTGAGTAAATCTTTATTAAGCATATACTACTAAGTGCTGAGAACAACTTCCTGATCATTCAGCTTGATTCAAGGGTAACGTTTGAAACATTGATCAGAATATCTGAAAACCTATGGGAAGTGGCCAAAGCAGTAGGTAGAGGAAAATTCAAAGCCTTAAATACATTTATTAGTAAGCAGAAAAGATCAAAAGTCAATGGACTTAAGAAGCTAGAAGGGGAGGAGGGTATAGCTCAGTGGTGTATGCTTAACATCCACAAGGTCCTGAGTTCAATCCCCAGTACAGCACCCCCATTAAAAAATAATAATTATAGCCATTTGTAACAACATGGATGGGTCTGGAGATTGTCATCCTAAGTGAAGTAAGTCAAAAAGAGAAAGAAAAACACCATATGATATCACTTATATATGAAATCTTAAAAATTTCTAGGTTCAATCCCCAGTACCTCTGAAAATTTTTTTTAAAATAAACTAGAAAAAGATCAATTTAAAAAAGTAAGAGTTAATTAGCATGAAAGCAGAAAATAATGAAGGAAACAAGTCCAAGAGCTGTGCTTTCTTTTCTTGTTTTCTTTCTGGAGGGGGTGGTACTTAGGTTTTCTTTCTTGCTTGCTTTCTTTCTTTTAAATCTACCCTTAATAGAGGTACTGGGGATTGAACTCAGGACGTCCTGCATGCTAGGCATGAACTCTGCCACTGAACTCTACCCTCCCTGTCTGGTTCTTTAAAAAGACCAAGGTAGTAGAATGTCCAGGGACTCGCATGGACTTCAAATTCTTTAGTCGGGAGGGCTTCGTGAGTATTATTTCTCCAATAAACCAAGCTTCTGATAACAGCTGCTTGGCAAAGTGTATTAGTTGATCGCTGTGTAACAAATTAACCAAAATTTAGGGACTTAAAATAAGAAATACATTTCTTACAGCTCTTGTGGGTCAGGAGTCGGACAGGACTTCGCCAGGTGCCTTCTGGCTCAAGGTCTCTCACAAGGCTTTAGGCAAGGTGTTAGCTACACTAGCATCCCAAGGCTCAAGTGAGAGAAGAGCCACTGCCCCATTCACCCACACAGGTATCAGCGGGACTCAGGTCTTCATTGCCAGCTGGCTGGAGACATCAGTTCCCTGGCACACGGGCTCCTCCACAGGGCTACTCATAGCATGGTTCACTTGTGTGCCTCCCTCAGAGCTAGGGCAGCAAGAGGGAGAATGAGGGAGTGTGAGCAAACCGTCTTTTTGTAATCAGTCTTTCTGTAACCTAATCTTCAAGTACTCTGTTCTGGGATTCTAGTGTGCTATTAGTTAGAATCTAGTCACCGGGTCCAGCCAACTCAAGGGGGAGCCAATTATACATGGGAGTGTATACAAGGGGTAGGAATCACTGGGGGTCATCTCAGAGGCTGTCACCACACAAAGGGCTTAAGATCATACTCCTGAAGTTCTGATATTCTTTTTGCTAACTGAGGGCAGTGTGACAGGTCTTGGCAGTCATCTGAGCAGTGGGTCTGTAGACAAGGCAAGCTCGGCTGCTTACTAGCTATGTAAAGCCTGGGAACCTTTCTTCCCCATCTGAAAAATGGGGTAATAATAAAGATCACCTTCAGAATTGATTGAGTTTATTGTGCTGAGGGCTGGAGAAAGTGTTTTGTAAGGTGTAAAGTACCCTCCAGAAGGTACGTATCACAGAGAACAAGATTGGAGATGTGAGTGTCAGTGATTTTTTTTCCTTTCCTTTATTATTATTTTTAAAATCTTTCATTGATGTAAAACATACACACAGAAAAGTGCACAATTCATAAATGTGGTCATGTTCTCCTGTCTTTAAACATTCTTCTAAACCAAACTTCAAAAAAGGTATATATAATGTTTCATTTTTTAATTTCAGTATTTTTCAATTAAAATTTTTTATTGAAGTATAGTTGATTTACAATGTTGTGTTAGTTTCTGGTGTACAGCATAGTGATTCAGTTAGATAAATATATTCATTATAGGTTATTACAAGCTATTGAATATAGTTCCCTGTGCTATCCAGTGGATCTTGTTGTTTTAAAACAAATGAACTTTCAAGTTCTTTTTACTTTGTGTACTTTCCAGAACCTTCTACAGTGAGCTAGAATTATGACTGTAATCAGAGAAATATCATCTCCACAAGGTGTAGTTTCTGTTGATTCGAATTTCCATTTATAAAGCACTTTAAAACTCCTTATCTTGCTTGGGTTTTACAATGGCCCTGGGAGAAAGATCAAGCAGGAATCGACTTCCTTGTGGGTAAAATGAGGAAGTCACTCTCCGCTCTGGGCCGGCAGGGGACTGAAGGTGGTGTCCTATGTGAGTGCTGGGCAGTGAGCCATCGTCAGCTCCTGGCACCGAAGGGCTCTGGGCAGGGCTGGCCTCCCAGCACCCCGCCCAGAGTGGCCACTGCCAGCTCTAATGGAAAACCTTCTGACTCGCCAAACCAGGGCTCTAGAAAAATTCTGCTTCTGGGAAGCTGCCCTAAAGAAATTGTCATGATGCTGCCAAACCTTATGTGCAATTAATTTAATGCAGCAGCATTTTTAATAGCAAACACTTCGAATTAATGTAAGTGTTCAACAGAAGGAAATTGGTTAATAAATTTAGTCATTCAAAGGTAGACTATTTCACTACCATTAAAATATAGTTCTGAAATATAGATTTGTGGGTTTTAATGTTTACTGAATGAAGCAGGAGCAAAAATGGCAGAGGCATAGGGATGTTTATGATACAAATCTGTAGAAAACCGCGAGGAAGGAAATGTGCAGATCGAGTAGGCAGGCTCCATCCTGGGGGAGGGTGGTCGTTTTTCTCTTTATTTAATATCACTAATTCCCTATAGTAAGCATGTCAATTACACAAGTAGTAGATGAAATGAGCAAAGCACTGAACTCCCAGTCCCCACAGCTCCTCCCCCAACCCTCCCACTCCCTCCTCTGACCACCAGTGTGTTGTAGATACTTCTAGACGTTTTCTTTGAATCCACCATGTATTGCTTTTAAAACTTGCATGTACAATCAGAAGAATCATGGCGTAAGGGGAGAAAACAAAACAAAAGCCTCTCGAAATGAATCAGGACATCATAGAAGCATAGAGATTTTTGCAAAGCAAGTCTCTCTGTTTAAGGGCAAAAAAGCAGAGCTCAGGGTCATTGGGCGGCATGCCGAGCTCATCTGGTTTGTGTTGGCTCCAGACACCCAGTCCAGTGCTACTCCAGGGCCATGTCCCTTAGGGCTCTGAGAGAAGGCGGGAGGCTGGCAGGAGGCCAGGAGGATGCTCTGGGCTGGATGGGCTGGGTGAGTGTGAGGAGCCTCCTGCCTGTTTGTTCTGGGGACCAGGAGATGCCGGCGGAGAGACACTCTGGCAGAAGGGACCAAAGTCCCCATTTATGGCCTTGGGGGAGTTAATGTGTAATATTCTAGGATATAAGCTGGACTGTGACATGAGACCCTGAGCCCAGCCCTCCAGGAGTCACCGAGAGCTGCTTCCAGGAGCTGCCACCATGTCGGTGAGGATGCTGGACTCTGTATTGCCCACCTCCTCCATCCCTTCACGTCTTCCCCTGAGTCAGGGTGGGGTGGGTGCTGGGGGAAAGCATCCCTGCCCCTCCCAGCCTCTGTTTCCCCTGTTGTGTGGATGTCGGACATACCATCTCCATAGCCTTTCAGCATCAAGGTTCTCTGCTCCCCCTACCATTGTTCTGAGCCTCTTTCCCCCTCTAGCCTCAGTTTTCTCATCAGTAATATTAATAGCAGTAATAGTAACAACTGCTAATGTCTACTGAGCTTTATGAAGATAAAGAAACTGAGGCTGGAAGATTAAATTGCTCATGATCACACTCTGTAAACGGTAGGGAGTTGAGTGGATGTTTTATGAGGTCCCTCCCTGATTCTTTGATTCTAAACCCTGCTCTGCCATAGCCTGCTGTGTGGCCTTGGGCAAGTCATGGCTTTTTTGGGAGACACCATTCAAGTCAGCAGAGGTGGGGTGCAGGGCGTGGAGGGGAAGAGAGGGTCCAGCGTGGGGGCACAGTGCTCCCCCCATGTCTGCCTCGCAGGGAGGACCATTGTGCTCAGACACTTGCCCGACTTTCTCCTTCCCTTGATTGTCTCACCCCTTTCCTTTCTTTCCTCCTTCTTCAGAGACCACATAGTGCAAATCTCTTATATTAAAGAGTGGGGAGCTGAGGTCCAGAAAGGGGCACAGCCGGCTCCTAGTCACTTGGCCAGTTAGGGGCAGAGCCGGCACTAGACCCTGACCACTATCTGCCCCCACCCCTACCCCAGCTTTGCCTCCCTGTGATACAAGTCATTTGCTGTCAGTAAAATGACTCCAAATTTGTGCAAGAACTAAGTGTGTCCTTGTTTGGGGGATTCTGCTGAGGGCACCGCATCTCATCACTTGAACACGTTTGGGGACAGTGGGGTCAGTGGGGACCACTCTATCCATTTCATAGATGGGCAAATTGAGGTTCCCTCAGCTGGACCCTGTGTCTCCAGATCCAGCTATTCTTGTCAGGCTGGCGTGGGTAAGAGTGGAGCCAAATCGGCCAGGGACGGGTGGGGGCTCTGGGAAGCTTTGATCCAAGCACTCTGGCTCTTCCCTTCCCAGCCTAGTGCCTTCACGGGGGGAGAGGGAGAGTGAGCCTGTGGCCAGATCAGGATGGGCTGAGGCTCCTGAATGGGCTTCACCAGTAGAAGAGTGCTGGGCACACGTGTGATGGATTTTTGTGGTACGTTTCTCTGTTTGTGCAGGAGAAATTTGAGATCATGAACATGGACATGAAGGTGGGGTCAACCCTGAAGATCAAGGGCAAGATCGCCGATGATGCTGATAGGTGGGCAAGCAAGAGGGCAGGTGGGTGGGGGTGGGGCGGGGGGACTGCCCAAAGACTTGGAACTAGGCTGGGGATGTGGGGCAGGCAGGGCAGCCTTGTGAAATGGTCAGATGATGACAGTGACCTCAGACCACTCTGAGGGGACCTATTGTATGTTCTTGCTTGCTCTCACGCCCCTCCCACACCCCTGCTGGCTCCTCTGTTAGGGCCTGCCTTCACATCTGAGGCTAGGTTTGCAGACCTGCAGAATCCACAGCGGACACCATATACTCAATTCCTTGGCCCTGATAGAGAGTGAAGGGGCAAGTGGAGAAACCTCACCACTCTGCCCAGTCCTCTGTGAGTTGGGTGCCTCTACTGAAGGCGCAAACCACTAGGGACACCACCCTTTTGACCCAGCTGATGGTCAGAGGCTGGCCTTTCACACACATTAAACCAGGGACAACCGCTAGGGGGCGCCAAGTGGTCCTGTTTGCATTGCATCCTCTCCATTAGAATCAGATGCTTTTCTCCACCTTGGGTGTTGCAGCTCAGCAGTGGGCTCTCCTGTGTGCCGAACAAAGCCTCCACATTTCTTGGGACTGATCTCCATCAACTTTTGGTTGGGAGAGGCAGGCAGATGCATCGGGTAGGAGCCAAGAGGAAAGTTACCCTTTCTCTGACTTGGGTCCTTCAAGGTGACAGCAATGTGGGATACCTCTGGTCTGAGACCTCCCAATGAAGGCACCCTATGACTCAGAATGCCCCCCTCTCAGGGACCCTGAAGATCTAATCCAGACCCCTGTAGTGATCCTCCCAAGAGATCACACAACCCCTGATTGCATATACCTCAAATGACAGGGAGCTCATCCCTTTAGGTGTACAACTTTTTTATGGCTAAACTGAATGGGTCTTCAGATGGCTAAGAACAGCAATTCTCCTCCCTTCACCAGGACAGATACTCTCAATTTCTAAAATGTCACTATTAATTACCCATCTGTCAAGAGCTTCTGTACTCTTTAAGTGGAATGTGATGCTCCAGTGCCAAGTATGATCAAGTTGTCACCTCCCTTGTTTTAAGGCACAAACCTCTATTAACACAATCATTGGTGATTTGTCCAGCTTGTGGTCAACCAAGATCCTGCGACCCAAGCTGTTTTACCCAGGGCTGCCCCCTTATTCTCACCTGCTACCACTTCCCCTGCAGCTTTGTGATTAATCTGGGCCAAGGGACAGATAAACTGAACCTGCATTTCAACCCACGCTTTGGCGAATCCACCATTGTCTGCAACTCACGGGATGGCAGCTGGGGACAGGAGCAACGAGATGATCACATGTGCTTCAGCCAAGGGTCAGTGGTCAAGGTGAGGCCAAAGGGGGAAGGGGCCTGAGGAGGCTATCAAGGATGGTGGGGCACCCTGGCCTCTATACGGGCCAGGACTGTTGGGAGCCACCAGGCACCGCCCTGGCCTGTTCCCAGGGTGCCTCCTGCCTCCCTGACACCCTCCCTCCCACCACACGCAGATCATCGTGACCTTTGAGGACAACAAATTCAAGGTGAAGCTGCCAGACGGACACGAGCTGACCTTTCCCAACAGGCTGGGCCACAGCCACCTGAGCTACCTGAGCGTTCAAGGCGGGTTCACCATCTCCTCGTTCAAGTTAGAATGAGGGCAGCCCCTTGCCAGTACACAAGACCCTGGCGCCCGATTCCCTAGCCCGAGCTTCACCCCCCCTCACCTTCACTCAAGACCAGCAGCCCTAGGGGCACGGCTTCCCACCTGCAGCTCCCAGCCCCGCCCCCACCGGTTCCCCCCCAAGGCTAAGAACAAACAAAAGAATCCACCTTTACAGTCTTCCTGTGGTAGCATCTGCTGTTTTCCACTATTTTAATGCTCCCAGCACCCTCCTGATACTGACGGGGAAACCGGGAGACACAAGGTCACAGGACCGCCAAGTGGGGGATGGGACGTGCTCCTGAACACCTCTAAGCCACCACTTCTGCCTGCCCGTCTCCTTTTGTCACTGGGGCAAGTGCCAAGCTGCCCTGTGGGATTATGGTTCCCGGCACCTGGGCCAGGGGCTGTGCCCGGAACTGCAGATAAGGGCTCCCACCTGGGCCTCTTATCACAGGAATATTCATTCCAGCCTGGTTACTCATTACCCCCAGCCTCAGCCTCTCCCCTGACTGGGGGCCCTGTGGGAGAGTCCTTGACTTTCCAAACCCAGTGCTGAGGGTATTCAAGCAGGTGGCGGTGATGCTGGTTTCCCAGGTCCTCAAGCATTTTGCAGGACATCTTTTATCAAACAAGCCTTTTTTAATCAGGACCCAGAGGCAGGTTGCACAGGAATATGGGAGTGCCCTCCTTCCCCGAGGTCACACCTGAGTTTCCTCAGAGGCTTCTGGGACAAGAGGGGGTGGCGGTGGGAATGCTGGGAAGCAGCCTTAGGAGGGCTGGGGTCTTGGGGAGGCAGTGGGGACCCTGCTGAGGGCAGCTCCAGGATGAGCTGGGGCAGGTGGTCCCTCTGGGAGAGGAGACAAAGGCTCTATGTGGTGTGCTCCCCACCCCCACCCAGCAAGGGCAGCTCTCCCAGCACAAAGGCTGCACTGTGAGGCCAGGCCCTCCAGCCGGTGGGGGTGGCACGGAGGTGGGGTGCCAAGGAATGGCCACTGGGTCCAGAATGGCAGTGGGGGGAGGCAGATCAGTCCTGCAGGGCTCATGGGAACCCCGGGGTCCCAGAACAAGCCTGGTCTCTGGCCTCCCTCCCATGTCTGTCCTGCAGAGGTGTGGAGGGGTCTGGGGACAACTTGGGTTCTCCTGCCTGTTGTCGGCAGGACCCAGCTGTCAGGTGAGGGGCTGGCTCTGCACCTGGGCTGTTCTTAGGCAGTGTCCCGAGGCTGGGAAGGGTCCTGGGACCATGCCCAGCCACTCACACCTTGACCTCATCATCCTCCTCAGCATCAGCAAACTCGAAGGTGTTGGCTTGCACCGTGCTGGGCACGGAGGCCCTGCTGCCTGCCTGGGCGGTCCCCCACTCTTCATCTAGGCTCTCCCAAGAGGCCCGAGACTGGGGCAGCATCCCCACCGGCTCCCGCCGAGCATCCATCTCACTGTAGTGGCGGCTGCTTTGGCTGCCACCCCAGCCTGCTCCCCAGCGCCTGCCAGGGACTATGTCAGCAGGTGCACAGGGACGTTCTCCCAGCGGGCTGGCTGTCCCCTCAGCCACTGGGCCTGACCCAGCGGTTACCCCATTGGGGCAGTGTCCAGGGGGTAGGGGGCTTGAGGCAGGGGCTGGGGGGCTTGGAATAGGGGCTGGGGGATTTGCAGCAGAGGCTGGGGCTGGGGTCTCAGCTGCAGAGGCTTCTGAGAGGCTCATGACCCCCAGCAGCTCACTGAGGAGAGAGGGCCCAAGGTCGAGGTCCAGGCGGAAGGACTGGAGGGAGTCAGAGCGGCGAAGCTCAGGCTCAGAGGGGAAGGTGCTATCACGGTCTCGGTCACGGGGCTTTTCTGGGCGAGGCAGGCGGGAGATGGTGCAGAAACCAGAGTCCAGGCCTAGAAGAGAAACAGGGACCAGGGTCATGGCTGGGGTCCCAAACCAGGAATTGGGGAAGGGAGAGCCAGGACCAATCCCAGCTTGCGATGCGGCCTTTAGTAAGCCACTCCCTGCTCTGGCCTCGGTTTCTCCCATTTTTCCAATATGGTGAACCCCGTCCTCTCATGTGTGATCCTCCTGTCAACCCTGGAAATTGACATAATTCTCATTCCCATTTCGCAAATGAAGAAAGTGAGACTCAGTTTGGGATGAGGGGAAGGGCTTGCCCAGGGCCAGGGTCTGATAGGCTGAAGCCAAGCCTGAAGCTCAACTCTCCTGACTCTCAGCCCCAACTTTAAACTTGGCCATGACCCCTGGTCCCCTGCCATGACAGTGGCTGAGGGCTGCAGGTGAAGCCACAGCACATGGGCTGGTTTGTGGGCACAGGGATGGAACCAGCAGCTAGGGTCAGACTGTATAGAAATAACAGACCAAAAGGACAGGCAGACACACCTGGCTCAGGACAACTAGGCCTGAGACACAGTGAGGGGGAGTGTGGACCAGCCCTTTGGGGGTTGTGGGTAGCACCCCCTGGAGATGGAGCATTGGAGGAAGCCTCTGGTGGAGGGGCAAAGCCGCAGTGCAGGGAATGGCCACCAGGTGGCAGCAGGGGCCCTGGTTCCCAGGTGAGCTGTCTAGAGGAGGAGCCAAGGTGGCACTTGCCACGCCCCACTCTGGCAGGAAGGGCCTCTGGCTTCTGTCCACGTGAGTGGTTTTTCCAAGTTTGTCAAGTTACAGGAATCTCTGTTCAAATAACAACACAGCAACAGCTCTCGTACCCTGAGCACCTACTATGTGCCAGATTCTGGGCCGCATATGATATGTGTATCACCTCACTGAAACTTAGCAACGACCCTAAGAGACCCATTATACAGGCAGGACTTGACCTTACAGAGGTCACTGGAAATCAGACAGAACCAGGATTTGAATCCAGAGCCCTGGTTCTTAGTCTCTCTACTATATCATTCTGACACAAGGGGGCTGCTTCCATTGAAGGGGACTAGAAGAGGGGGGCTGGCCCAGCCGAGGGCCCTGAGATGGGGAGGCAACTTAGGGGCAGGCAGAACTCAAACCTCATCTCCTCACCTCTCAATCTCAGTGTGTTTTGGGGAGTGAGCTGGTTCTCACCCAGTGACCCCCTCCCCATCCATGGTCTGGGGTTTGGGCCTGACCTCCACGGAGACCAAATTACTATGGAGAAAAGAGCTCACTTGAAGGCTTGGCTGACCCATCGAACCCTCTGGAAAACGGACAAATAGCCCAGGCTCTCACCGTAACCGGAGTGGCCGTCTGTCGAGCTGGCAGGGCTGCGGTCAAAGCTGAGCTTGCCCACCACGAGGCTGTCATAGGCGGCCTGGTTGAGCTGTGGCAGAGAGATGGCGTTCTTGATGATGGGGGAAATGGCGGGTGGAGCAGGTGAGGGTGCAGGTGGGGAAGCCATCCTCCGGGGCGGCGCCCCCACCCTCCGCATCAGCTGTAGCTTCTTGGCCAGGAAGCTGCGGGGTGAGCGGTGGGTGCCCCCGGAGCTGCCACCGTGGTTGCTGAGGAAGGAGGTGTCACCAAAGACATCTCCACCACGGCCCACGTGCATGGTGTGGCGGAAGTCCCCCAGTGGGGGGCTGATCATGTCTGCAGTCAGCCGCCTCTTCCCCTGCGAGCTGGACACCCAGCCCACGGGTGAGAGCTTGCCCAGGTTCATGGCTGGGGCTCCTCCGGCCCCCTGGGGGCCCGGCATTGGCTCTGGCTGTTCACAGTTGCTGGCCCATGCCCACCGGGGGCCTGGGGAAGAGGGTGGTGGCCTGGGCTGAGGGTCCACTTCTCAGCTCCCTCCTGCGTGGCACAGAAGGGGGTGGGCTGAGGCTGCCCGTCTGCTCGCCTAAGGTGCTGCTCCCAATTGCTGAAGCTGTGGGGGGTCCATGGCTCGTCTCTCCCTGAGGCCTGTCTCCCAGGCCCGTGGAAGTAGCTGTCAACGTTCTGTCCAAGACCAGAGAAGTGCCTCAAATGTAGACCTAAAAGAAAGAGAAAATAGTAGGGGTGAGCCTAGGGGCATCCTGGGTCCAAATAATAACACCTAAAGAGAACAAATGATGGGGATCACGGTCAAAATGCTGAGCAGACCCGCAGAGGATGCGCTGCATGACTCCATGGACTGGCAATTTAAGAACAGGCAGAACAGAAATAACAGTGATAGAAATTAGAATTGCAGTTGCCTTTGAACAGGTATAGACTGCAAGGGAGCACAGAAAAATTCAGAGCTGTGTGCTGCAGATGTGTAGGGGTAAAAAATATGAATGGTCATGATACAAGGCCCATCGATAAAGCATCTACTAAGTGCCAATGGCTTACATTCATCACTCATTTCACCCCGACAGCAGCCCCGAGCGAGGCACTATATTAGTAGAAACTGACACAAAAAGAGGTGAAGAGACTCGACGGCGCGTACACAGGAGGCCACGGTGAAGCAGGGCCCCTAAACCCAGAGCCCAGGAGCCTCAAGCTACACCGCCTCCTGCTGGTGGGTTGAGTTATGTCCCCTCCCTTCTCTGTGGGATAAACTGTCTTCCAGTCAGAGAGGCCAGGAGGGAGGGGGTGCACAGGGAAGGCTTTGTGAACTGCTGTGTAAACAGCCGTGCAGAGGTTCCTCAGAACCCTTCGCCTTCAAGGTGCTTCCTGGAAAAAGGCTCCTGTGGTCAAAAGTGGTTTTTCCAGCTGTCTACTACATGCCTGAGCATATTCAAGGCTCTGAGAAGGCCCGTAGGAAAGAACATTATCATCGTTTTTCAAATTGATGTAAAAGGCCTTGTCACCAGGGAACAAGTTTTAGAAAAAGCTCAGCTGGTGCCAAAAGCTGTTCCTTGCCTGGTCCCTCCCCTCCTGATCTCTCGCCCACACTCCCTCCGCGGTCCCAGTCTTCTCTAAGCTTCTCTTGTTCCGACCCCAACCTGTCTAGCATCATAGAAAGTATAGGCTGGGGGACATCTATGAGCCTATGGTCCCACACCTGGTTTCCCGGTGGCCCAGAGGGGCCACACTTGTCCACAACCACATCAAGAGAGCTAGCAGAAACTTGAACTCGGAGCTTCTGACTCATATAGACTTACTGGCTCCTGGGGCCCAGGCTTGTCTCCCTAGGTCAGCAACGCAGTCTGAGGGCGGGGCAGCCGCCTGCATTTCCCTGCTTCCTCCCTCCCTCCCAGCACTCGGCTTGGGCTCTGCACACCGCAAGTGCCAAATCAATACGAGTTTAATCACAG